GAAATGCAGACAATCCAGTTAACTAATAATGAAAAATATTTGGATCTAATCAGACCCAATCAAAAACATCTTTATTATGAATAAATGAATCTTATTCTCTCCAAAAACAGGAAGGAGAGGAAACAAGGGAAGAAAAACTTTAAAAATTTACAGATTTTGTTTGGACTTGCCCCTTGTACACGTTTTTCTTTCAGGCATAGTACTTTTTACCATTAGTGCTCATGGAGAACTAACTCCTAGCAAATGTGCACAGAATACTATCTTCATATTTATTAGTATAATTTGTTAAAACATATAAATCAACATTAAACTATGATGATTGTACAATACCATAATGAAAAGTGCCTTCTCGATGATATTTTTAGAGAGGAATAATGTGTAAGCTGCATTCAAATGTCTCAAAATAACAGACAGCCCTTTGGAGTCACTTTCGAAAAATAGATATAAACTGTGCCCATTCCTTCTAGCTTCCGTAGTGGTTAATGTTCATACATAAGCACACTTATGGGACACGCAGGTTAATTTACTCTGAACTATGCTGATGTTCCCTCCTACTCTAACTCAGACATATGCAAGAATAACCCAGATTTCTGTTTCAGTTAGTTTCCTAAGGAGTGAAAACATGGTGAAGGTAGATTTCTGGGGACCAATTACTTTTAACACAGGATATTTACAGGTTTGAACATAAAGTATTTTATTAGAGAAAATGTGAATTGAAAATTACTGTTTGGAGTCTACTATCATTAACAGTCACTGTTTCTGTTCAACTAAACATGCCCACAAAGAAGGTTGTAACTACATTTTATTGTGGAAATACCTGGTCTCCTACAAATGTTGGGTGAATTTCCATTGGGGCTTTATGCTGTATTTATAATATAATAAAACTATTATGTTTTCAACTTTCATTTAATAATCCTTTATATTTATACACAGGGAACATACTCCCTTTTTATATGAAAGACATCCCAGACACTCTCTGACTTTTATAAGTGCTTATTTTTCCATGACCGTATGATGTGTTTATATGTACAGTCATAAAAGACTGACTTAGCATTTCAAGTCCTTCAAGAGGATTTTAATTTTTTTTTTTTAAGTGATCTGTGCTTTTAGGATTTTTAACTGGTTTTTAAAATGAAAAAAAAAAGATATTTCAGATTGTAATGAAGTATATTTTGTAGTGAAGTGCAAAGTAAAGAAACACATTTTCTAACAAAAGAAAACAAAATAAAGAACTTCCAGAGAAATAGCTTCTTTGGGTATTTTCATTCTGATATCAATAGCATTTATAAGCTATCAAACATTTAAAGCAGTTGTGTTTCCATTAAAAGCTTTTGTATATGTTTATTGAAAAAGATTCCCTTCCTTCCTCTCCACAACTAAACTTGTAACACAGGTATTTCTTCTGAATTAAAAAATAATATAAGTATAAGGTTTACACTCTAGTATCCTTTACACTTTGCAATACCTTCTTCACAGGTAAGGCTATTGAAACACTGCTTAAACACAGAGCAGGTTACTACTCAACCTGGGTAAAGAGAGTGTCGGAATATTATCCTAACGGTAGTAACATTCATAGAACAAATAAATATTCTCTTCTAGAAAATGAAACATTAAATATCAATATAAAAAAATTCATGTTTGACATACACTTAGTCATGAATTGCAGAAGGCAAACACAATGCCTAAACCCATCAAATATGTCATGAGATTGGTGTTCAAACAATGAGAGCAGACATTACCAAATGACACAGAAAAAGGTCAAAGAAACAATGTATGGTAGAAAAAGCATCAACAAATTTGCAAATCATTTAAGCAAAAACTACTTTAATGCATCATTTTAAATAAAACCATGTAATAAAATATAGGATTTGTATGTTTTCCTTTAAATGCTTGCTTCCACTACTTGCTGAATAGTAATACTGAATTGCTAGCTGAGATAAACTATGCATTATTTTGCTTAATTATCGCAAACGCGTTCACCAAGAAAGCCAAAAAAATGCCAAAATAAAACCTACCTAGAGTTTCCATTTTGGAAGCAGAATTTTTTTGATTAGGAAGTAGAGCATTTCTTGGACAAGCCTTTAATTTTTTCCCATAGTACAAAAATTTCAGTCTACTTCTAATAGCAGTATAAATTCATATACAAACAAATTGCTGGTTTGATAATTTCATTCTGCCCTTCTACTTTCCCTCCAATGTCCTGCTCCCAGTTCACCTATTGGTAGCAGCTTCTCAGAATTCCCTCATATAGGTATTCAAGATAATTTCTGAGGCTTGCTAGTGGCTTTGGTACAAGCCTCTTAAGAAAAAGTTAGCAGTATTTGATGCAAGCATCAGCAAACAGCATAAGATTTTAGATTTACTCCAGAAGAGTAAATAAGCTCATCTTTTCAAAATGAGGGTGGGGGATGTTGATTTTTGTTTTTCTGATTGTTGTTGGTTGTTTGTTTTCAGATGAAACTTACCTTTTTCAACTGTGCTTCCAACTTACTACACTCTTCTTTCTTTTGTTCTATGGCTATTTCTAAAGACTTAAGTTTGGAGTCTCTTTTCAGACCTGCTGATGCCAATGAAGATGCATGTTCTTTGAGATCGATTAAACTAGACTGAAAAATGACCAAGAGTAAAAAGTTAATTCCTAGTCACCAGGACACTAACTTATTGCCAACTTAGTAATCACTTAAATCCTGTTCCCCCTCCCCTTCCCCAAAAAGAATTGACACAAAGATAAGCATTGATAGCAAAAGACACCGTTTTGAGAATACAACCAATTGGAACCACAAGAGCAGGCACAGCAACATAGAAATGTTCATAATACAGACAAGCTGACATTATATTCTGGAGGTACAATTACTTTGAAGTCTGTTGCTCTAACTGACAAATGAAAACAGGAGCAACAATGGAATATTCGAGCCTACTGGAGGCTTATGTAAAGGAAAAAATAGAGATAATGACACACAACTATGCAAAACCTGAAGCAATATTTTATGTACAAAAGTGAGGACTACAAAGAATGCTTAAGACAATAGCAGTTCAGAAGCTGAGCACTAAAATGGCAGAATTTCAGTACGTAAAATGATTCAAGAGTAATCCTAATGCACTTTCTTTCATCATAATGACATAGATAGAAGAACATAGATTTTACTGAAAAGACTGACCTCTTTTTCTGTCAGTTCAGCTTGTAAAGCATTAACTTTCTCCTTCAGGTCTTTGTTTTCTTTTTTATAAGATTCAATTTCTTCAAGTCTTTCTCTGTCATCTCGCTCTCTTTGCTCCTTCAAGCGCTCTATAATTCTTTCCTAACAAGGAAAAAAATTGCAAAATGGAAAAGTTGGGAATCATTTTAAGAAAAGACAGAATAAAATTTCTTTACATTAAGTAGCACTTAGAAAAGTCAACCCTCAGAAGCAGAGGAGGATTGAATTAATGGTATTAAAGTCAATGCAAGATTTCCCCTGATTTCAAAAGCATCAGATCAAGGTTTTAAATACTTGATAAGAGTAACACAGTACAGAACTTTCATTAGATATCTATACTGATACGAAGATTTTTAGTCTTGTGATAGATATGGAAAGTTATTCATCTCAGTAACGTATTTTCTGTATTCATAAGTGATTGAAGTCTTGAATAAAAGTTCAAAACAAAGAGGCCATGACTGGTTTACTCAGCTTGAATTTGGTTATGTTTTTTGAATGCTAGTAGCCTCTATAGTGGTTGCAAGAAGTTTTCGAGATTCCAAATCTAATTAGAAATCAATTACTTGCTAACTATCAGTAACTTACAGTTTACATGTACTATATTTTGAGAGAACAAAAAAAAAAAAGTTGTCCAAGAGACAGAAAAAGTACCCTGATACAACTTATGATATGCAAAGGAAGATTTTTCTTCATCTAATTAACAGTAACCCTACACACATCTAAACTCAACCACGTTTTTAAATGTTTTGCTGATTTCCAGTTACTGTTATAAGGATTGTTGAAAATCACCAGTCAAGGACTGGGTGATGAATTCAAAGGGTGAAATGTAAAAAGCAGTAGTACGGTTTTGTTAAGCTTTGATTATATTCTTCAAAATCACATTCTATCAATACTTGAAGGATGCAAATACCAATGAGAGAAATACTTAGGGTAAAATAAAATAACCACTGAAATTGCATTTGAATTGGGAATAGATCAATTTAAGCAGAGCATGAGGGGAACTAATAGTATCATTTTGGAAGTGATAGTCAGGGGGGCAGTGGAAGCAACATCATTTAGGAAAGTTAAACCTACATGGGACAAAACTACATCCTGACTGATGAAGTTCTACGCTACCAGTGGTGTGGCTCAGGTAGAACCATCAGCATACTCATGGATCCTATTCAAGTCCTTTTGTATTTATGCTTGAAATCTCCCAGAAGTGGTTTTAAGAGTGGGATCAATACTTAAAATACTATTTCATAGAACTGGACAAGACTGATGGAAGCCTAATATTATTAGAAAGAGAGAAAAATCTCATGCTAATTCCCTCTGTCCATGATTCTTTATACTGCCATATATACTACACATATACATAAATTTTACCTTTGCCCATATCAATATACTCTCAGTTGTCATTGTATCTCCCCAAACATTACAATGCAAGCAACATTTCAGCAGCTGTACATCCCATTCTGATTTGTAATAAACTTAGTCATTATAATGGAAGCAAAAAGTTAATTCATTATCAAAATTAGCTTAAGTAGTAACAGCACTTTTAAAAAGCATATATTGTTCATTTTCTCCATACACTAGGTATGATGTTCCTCCAAGCTCTAGAGGATCTTCTGAAGATTGCTTCTGTGTTTTTTAAAGCTCAAGGCATATTTTGCAAAAAGCCAACTTTCAACGCTTACATGCGTAAAAAAGAGCCTAAACTCAAGGCTGTGATTTTCATCCCAGCAGTCTCCAACCTTGGAGATATTAAAAACCCAACTAGACAAGATCCTGAGCTAATTGCTCTAGTTGATCCTGCTTTGAGCAGCTGGGTTGGACTAGGTAATCTCCAGAAGTCTTTTCCAGTCTCATTGGTTCTATGGAATAGGCAGAGACATCTTCTAGATTCTGTACCTCAAACACTGGTTGTTTCTCTTCTGCTCAGGCTCTCTCCCCATTTTCACAATTCATCCCTTTGTAACACTGACCACATCAGCAACTCTGCTGACAACTGTCCATTGCCTCTGCTAGTTGTCTGTTTCTCCTTTCACACTGCATAGCAAAGGAACTAGTTACTAGAAAATGGAACACACACAGTGTTTTCAGAAGACTTGTCCATCAGTGTCCCCTTGTATTTTCAGATTCTATATATCTGCCTTTCACTAAGCATCTGTTGCAGATCTCTCATTTAAGTCACTCTCGTATCATTTAAATGCCATATTATCTGCATGTATACAGTTTAAAACTGATAATCAGTTTCTGTATGAACAGAATAAATATTTTATTATTTTAAATTACTGATTTAAAACTTGGCTACCCTTAAATCAATTTGACTGTAATGAGTTATACATTTCCCTGAAAGTATTTAAATGCCAATTCAAGAAACAGAAAAATTCAGCTTCTCATATTGATCTTTAGTTCTTAGGAATGTCTCTAATGTTTGTGGTTGCTTATCACACAGCTAATTGTAGACCCCACTGTAAGTGCAATTAAGCATATTAGAATTTTAATTTAAATCTTAATTTTTATATTTCCTTATTGTTATTTTAAATATTTAAAAATTAACTTACTTTTGCATTATGTTTATATAGCAAACTAAGCTATAATGCAACATATTTTATTATGTAACATGAGCTGTTAAGATCAAGTATCAAAAGCAGATGTAGGGTATTAATCTTCATAGATGCTTGCTATACGACCAGTCTATTATTGGATGTGAAACTAGGTCTAAGTGAAAAACATGTCCTATATTTCAAATATATTCCTTACAGAGCCATTTCAAACATTTATCTTCCTCTGACACATTAATTTTTTTCTTCCAGTTATATAATATTGGCTTCCAGCTGTAGTAATTTGTTTCACCAATAGTAAAAATTTTTAAAAATGCATCACACTGAGTATTTTATAATGTAATTATATGTATTAGTAAAATTAATGTTAAATATGATCAGGTTTTAAACAATTAGATAAAGATCTTTACCAAATAAGTAGTTATATTGAAGTTTGTAAATAAATGTATTTTGAATCTTTTAGACACTGGAAAATAATCAGCACTATACTGAATAATCTTGTAATAAGAATATTGGTATAGTTAGTTATTATTTGCTACTCAGTTCCTAAGGAAAACCTTTTCAAAGGGCTGGAAGTTCATAGTGCTATTTTCATTTTGCATCTAGCATTCCCCTGACATCAGGGACTCCCTTTCACAATCTAGGTAACTGAATATACATATTACCAAATTAGTGTCACTGTAAGAATCTTCACAGAAAACAGTGTTGACTACTCATATAAAACTCATATCCCTAATTATTTCATTCAGAAAGAAACACACATTGATGACATACTACGTTCCACTTAGCATACAGTAAAAAGATATGGCCAAAACTAAAAGTAGCAGGCTATGTGTAATTAAATCTGTTTCCAAGACAGTATCAACTGTCTATGCACTAAGACCCCTGGCACTGCAGATGTACACAACTCCTGGCTTCATTCAGCCCAATCGCAAAAATCTCCCTTTGACTCATACCTGGCAGGATTTCAGGTAGAAATGTGTTCATACAGAATGAAGGTCCTTCAACAGCAACATTGTGACTATTACACAAATGACAAACAAGCAAATAGTAATTTCTTTTTTTTTTTTAAACTAGTATATTAGCTGGCTTTTGCCATATAGATTATGCAAGAAAGGGATATGAAATATTAAATAACTTCAAGTTTATTCCTAGTAACAAATAATATAAATTCTTAATTCCTTGAATATTAATATTAAAATGCCAGCCTCCACTAAGTGGAATAGTTTAACAACCATTCAGAATCCACTTAGTTATATTCAGGCTTACTTTTATACCAATTCCTTCTTGAAGATTTATTTACCTAAATTATTTCTTTTTTCTTCTGTAACAAATTAAACATAACACTATTTCATCTTATTAACGAACAGTATAAATTTTTTCCCAGTCAATCACAAAAGACAACTAATTTATCTGTCAGCTGCATAAGGCTAAATGTCAAAAACGTGTTAAAAGGCCCTAATATACCATGTTTTACTTGATTAAGAGCTAACTTGCAGAAATCCCAACAATGTGTTCTTGTTTCAGTCTTATTTGC